CGCTATCAGAAGTCCACCGAGCTGCTGATCCGCAAACTGCCTTTCCAGCGTCTGGTGCGAGAAATCGCTCAGGACTTCAAGACGGACCTGCGCTTCCAGAGCTCCGCTGTCATGGCCCTGCAGGAGGCCAGCGAGGCTTATTTGGTCGGTCTGTTTGAGGACACCAACCTGTGCGCCATCCACGCCAAGAGAGTCACCATCATGCCCAAAGACATCCAGCTGGCCCGCCGCATCCGCGGAGAGCGCGCTTAAATATACCGCTGCATCACCAATAACGGAACCCAAAGGCTCTTTTAAGAGCCACATAAATTGCACTTAAAGAGTTTCAGTTTTAATCCTGTTCTTAGTGAATAGATGGCATCGTTGCACTCTTGCGATAAATTAATTTATTTAAAGTGTTTTCTGTTGCTCTGTTTTAATGTATAGTTTTAATGTATAATTTTACACGCAGACACTGATAATCTATTTTTATATAAAGGCTAGTTTCCATAATACAGTGTCAATACCATTTATTCTTAGCATGTACGTATACTCTGCAGGATAGCACATTTCATTGTCATGCTGTAGTATGGGGGCGCCGCGTCACGTGGCGTTGGTTTCTATTAGGTCCTTTAAGCGAGTGTGAAAGGCTCTTTATTTCATCCACAGAAAAGCATTATTCGGAAAAGGAGGCCCTACGCATCACCGTAAGGTTTTGCATGATAAACAAATCTAACAACCTTGCACAAGTAACTAACTGACCATAAAACATGTTCTCTAAAATTACTTCTGAGTAGCGTTTTAGTGAAGCTGTCCACATTTATTTTCCGTTGTCTTTTAATCTGTAATTGATTCTCAAGATTGGATTTCTTAAAGTGCTATTACGGTGTACAAAGCACAAAGTTAGGCTATGTTATTATATTACCCATCATAAAACAAAGACAAGAGTGAAGACTTTTGGATCAGTATGATACGACGGTGAGAGCAGGAGTGATACTGCACACAAATCAGACAAGAGCGAAAATGAGATTTATATTCGCATTCAATTCAAGTCATTGATGCTTGCATACAGAACAGCCACAGGCTCAGCACCCTCCTACTTCCACTCACTCTTACGAATTTACACCCCCTGCAGAA